GGTGTCGGGGCACCTGAGCCCATGACAGTTCTAATGACACGCAAGAAAAGATAGAGTGGACAGTCTCACGTGATTGGACAACTGCACCAGGGGGGGGGTCTTGTGCGTGTTGTAGCATGACATCGTGGAGCGGAGGTCCAGAGGTCAGAATTCCGCAGAGATACGGCAGCTGTGGAGGCTGAAATGCGAGTATATAGAACGAGGCTTTCGGCTACAGTACTGCAAGCTTGCTGTCAAGCTCGGCGTTCATGTCTGACAACCTTCGGGGGACATCTCCAATTGGGGGAGCACAACTAAAGTTTGACTGGCACCGCCCCCATTTTCGGATACATGACCTTGACGATTCCATTCATTTGGCAATGCCGATGCTATTTATCCGGGTAGAGGTTGGTTTCCTCTGATCGACGTCGATCACCACCGACAAAACGTTGCCCGTAGATCAAGCTCTTCCGGAGCATGCCGCACCAATCTAAACACAACTGCAGAGTGTCTGACTACTCGTAGTATACACAAGTAGCGCAGCCAGCGATTCTTGCGCGCTCGGTCATGTCCAGCCAACGCCAGCTCGAGCTGTGCGTACTGTGTGCGATTAGAAACTGGCAAGATTTCGCTGAAGCTTGACTGATATCCAAGCTACCGCGGTTTCTCCAGCTGTACGCCAACTCGGAGGAACGGACAAGATTTGGCACATGTAAGCGAGTGTGTCGCTAAGCATCTGGCGCGGTGTGTTCCTGTCGTGAGTTGGCTCGATGCAGCAATCCCAGCAACAGTTCTGTTAGTGGAGCGGCATCAGGAAGATGTATATGCAGCCGTGTACATGCATCCACGAAGTCGTGATCACTTTACCGAAAAAGCTTCTGGACTCCACAATTTTGGGCCTGGATTCAGCGTCTGAAAAGTTCACGGCGAGACTAATGGGTTGCGCGTCAACGTGGCGGCTGAGATGAAAGTTTCAGCGGTAGAAATTGAGCCTGAAGACAAACTGTGTGACTCCCCAAGCAGAGCGCTGTACGAACCCCGTCAATGGATTGAAGACCAAGGCGAAAGCGCTGCGACTCGCGGTGCAGGCATGAAGCGTGGCGCGTACTGACGGCAGGAAGCTCCGGATCTTATGATCATTGAGCGCCAGCATTTTCAATTGACCAAACGAAACCTTGGGGCGATTCAATTTGTCGCTTACACTTGGGGTTTGTATCAGAAGAAAACAAGCAACGCGACAGTTGCCTTTGTCGAACAGAAAATAGAAAATACAGTTGGTGCCCATAACCAAAGCATTGAGCAACTTGCCCTGGTGTCATAACCGACTGCCACCGATGCGCTTGACCAGGGGTCTATTGCTCTCACTGGGGCTGTTCGGGCGGGGCTGCGCT